GAGATGGCAAGGGGACTTTCTGCTGTCATGGTGTCCTTCCTACCCCTCAGAGGACCTTCCCCTGGGAGAGAAGATGAGGAGAAATCCTATGTGTTCCACATGACCTGCCTCACTTGGCTCTAAGCACCATTTCAAAATACTTGGTTTCTTTTGCTGCATTCTCAAGTAGCCACTTCCTTGTGTCTATTCTGTGCTTCTCTACCTGTCATAGATCGAATTGTGTGCCCCAAAAAAATCTGTCAACTTGGCTGGGTCATGATTCCCAGTACTGTATGATTGTGTACCATTTTGTAATCTGATGCTATTTCCTTATGTGTTGTAAACTCTATCACTATGATGTAATGAGATGGATTAGCAGCACTTATACTGATGAGGTATACATGATTGGACAGTGTCTTAAGCCAATCTCTTTTGAGACATAAAAGAGAGAAGCGAGCAGAGACACATGGGAACCTCATACCACCAAGAAAGCAGTGCCGGGAGCACAGCACGTCCTTTGGACCTGAGGTTCCTGCACTGAGATGCTCCCAGACCAAGGGAAGACTAATGTATCACAAGGACCTTTCTCCAGAGCTGACAGAGAGAAAGCCTTCCTCTGGAGATGATGCTTTGAATTTGGACTTGTAGCCTACTAGACTGAGAGAATAAATTTCTTTTTGTTAAAAGCCATCAACTTGTGGTATTTCTGTTGTAATAGCACTAGATGACTAAGACACCACCCTTCACACAAACATGCTGCCCACAGTTCCTCTTTCTGCAGGTCTCCCAGGTCTTTTCAATTGTCTTATTCTCTCACTGTACGGATTTCAATGAGAAATCAGAAGCAAGACAATCTGCTTAAAGAAAATCACAGAGAGAATAAATGTCCAACGAGGAGCTTGAAAAGCATGGGCACTGGAGTCAGGCTGCCTGGGTTTTGATTCCAGTTCCACCACTTATACCTATGTGATGTCGGTCAGGTGCTTGTAATGCACCTGAACTTCAGTTTCCTCATTTGTAAAATGGAGGCTTGATATGATGTGCTTTGAACAGTGTGTGGCACTCAATAACTTTGCATTAACTATTATAAAGCTGAAGACTATCTACAGTCTAGAAAAAGACGTTTTTGAAGATGAACTTCTTGTACTACTTAAACCAGGTAACACCTGGTGAAGATCTGTCCTGGGCCCTTCTGTACATGACAGTTTCTGTTCATGACAGTGGAGTTTTACATCTTCCCTCTCCAAATATCCTGGAGGAGGCTAAGCAGTAAGAGTTGGTATTGTTGAGAATCCCAAAATACCTCATCCCTGAAACTTTCATCACACTAACAACAGAGAGCAAGAGAAGTAGTATTTATTGAATGTCTTCTACATGTTAATCCACATACATTATCTAGTATAAGGCTCATAATATCTCTGTAAATTGGATATTATCATCCCTAATAAACAGGGGAGGCTTAACAGGGGACATTTTTGTTGTTGAGTACATTCCCATTCACAGCAACCCCATGTGTGCAGAGCAGCCTTTCAGAAGCAGATCCCCAGACATACCTTCCAAGGCGCCTCTGGGTGGGTTCAAACTGCCAATCTTTTGGCTAGTAATTGAGGGTTTAACTGTTTGTGCTACCAAGAGAACTTACTGATTTATAGATGTTCTTAATATTCTCTCTGAGTCCTTTGTTTGATGTATGCATGACAAATATCCTCTTTCACTCTTCAGCTTTCTTTTTACTCTAATAATGGTGTAGTTTATATAAAAACCATTTGAGCCACCTAGGGACCTTCACAAGAGGCTTAACAAGATTTAAATAGCTTGCTGAAAACCATAAAGTGGAACCAGGATTACCCCACTTTAAAGCCAGACTTCTTGTCAGTTACACCACGACGCTTCCTTTCAAAGGGTCAGACTTTGACATATTTCTGGCTGGCTGTTGGCTCCTGTTCTATCTAAAATTATTTTATGCACATTTAGAAATGCTCATTTCTTCTGCCCCAGCAAACTGCATCTTCAGTTCTAGAATGCTGTTCAGTATGCTCAATGCAGGGCATTGCGAAGTGGGCAGGAGAGCTTGAATTGCACATACTTGAACTGTAAAGCATAAAAACGAATGAGGAAATAAACGTTTTACGTTCCTGATTTTTCATTTGTTCCTAAACAACTGTTTATAAAGAATGTGTCACTGAATGGTGGAGAAAGATTAGCTGCTTTTCCCTTATTTTTAGACTCAAGTAGTATTTGTAACAGTACATTTTGCAACATGAGTTGATAGTTCAAGAAGCCCTACGGAATGGTTACAATGAGTAAGATTGCAAAGATACAATTCATCACAAGGAGGAATCTCATGGTGAATTAATTCCGAGTTACGGCTTCGAATTCCTCCTTTAACAGGCTCATCCGTCCATTTACTCATCAGTTTGATCAAACATCCATCCATCCAACACATACTTAGTGAATATCCATTTCTCTCAAGTCAATTCCAACTCATAGTGACCCTACAGGACACGGTAGAACTGCCCCATAGGGTTTCCAAGGCTGTAATCTTCACAAGGGAGCCCTGGTTGCACAGTAGTTAAGAGCTCAGCTGCTAACCAAAAGGTCACCAGTTTGAATCCACCAGCTGCTCCTTGGAAACCCTATGGGGCAGTTCTACTCTGCCCTGTATGGTCGCTATGAGTTGGAATTGACTCATCTCAATGCGTTTGGTTTGGAATGTTTACAGGAGTGTACAGCCACATTTTTCTCCACCAGTGCCACTGGTGGGTTCAAACCACTGACCTTCCGGTTAGCAGCTGAACGCTTTAACCACTGCGCTACCATGGCTAGGTACCGCTTTATGGGCTGGGATACAACAAACAGTGCTTAAAGTGCATAAGGAGGGTTGTGATCACAATAATCTAATGAATAAACCAAAATCATTTCAGTACTGATAAACCAAACCAACCGTCGAGTCAATTCCGAACTCATAGTCACCCTGTAGGACAGAGGAGAACTGCCCCACAGAGTTTCCAAGGCTGTGATCTTTATGGAAGCAGACTGCCACATCTTCCTTCTGTGGAGAGGCTGGTGGCTGGTGGGTTTGAACCATCGACTTTTTGGTTAGCAGCCGAATGATTAACCACTGTGCCTTAGGTGGTGTGAATGAAATATGAGGATATAGGGTTTGTGGTGGAAAATCTACATGAGGTAGGATGGTCAGGGCAGATCTTTCTACACAGTTGGCATTTGAGTTGAGATGTGAATGAGAAAGAGCCAGCCAGATTTTTGCAAAGCAGAAGAAAGACCTTCCAGGCACAGAAAGGCTCTTACAATTCAAAGGTACCAAGAACAGAAAGAAGGCAGTGTGGCTGGACACAGAGTAATGGTATGTAATGAGGTCAGAAAGGTGGGTAGGTCAATGTTAGGCAGAGTCTCCTACTAGCTGAAAGAGTCCAATAATCGAAGCATAATGGAAATACGTTAACAGGTTCTAAGTAGAGGGGTAGCATGATTTGATTTAGCTTTAATGCATCAATCTGGACACTTGGCTGAGATTTACTTATAAAGAGACAAGCAGGCATAAGGATTTGTTAGGGTGAGGTTGGAGCAGTTGAGGTGCAAGAAGGCTCTAAAGACTCGTAACAAATCTCCTTAATGGTAAGGAGACTTCATTAGTAAAAGGAAGCTGAACTTATTTTAATAATGCTTCCATTTATATGCAACATATCTGCTATAAAATAAATACTTTTATTATTATTTTGTCAGCAGTATAGAAGGTGTGACTGTGGATTAGCAATTACACACAACTCCATCATATATTAAAAGGAACCACTATGCAGGGCTTTTGGTCCTCCCTGAAGGAGTGGAACAATATCTAGGAAATTAATTCTTCCCTTCGGCCTAAATGCAAAATTGCAGAAACCATTTACTGAATGTGGCCAGCCATTCCTAAGAGGGCAGATAGTCTTTCCTCAGGCATTCTTTATCAGAAGTCATTTATCAATTTCTACCTATTATTATGTGTAGTTAAAGAGAAATCTGCGCCTCTGGTAATTTACTGACATTTTCCTTGGGCTGAGAGACAAGCTAGTTTTGAAAGTGGTATCAGTAGTTGCCCTGTTTGCAAACTTCCTTGTTTAAGGGCTGTGATGGAGCTCTGGGAGGTGGTCGGCCTCAGCCCGCCAGTCTTTCTGCCCATAAATCTGCATCGTGAAAACATCCAACAAGTGCTGTGATGGGGCTGAATGCATAAAAAGGGTCTGCAAGCCGAATCTATTGTCGTCATTCCTGGCGGCAGAGGGAAGTGACAAGACGCTAATACGTCGCTGAGCAGTAGCGCGGCATAATAAAGCGTGGTTTGCACCACGTGTGTCACAGATTTCTCGGGTTTCTTCAAGGTTTCCCAAGTTCCACCTTCCCCTCTCGGCAGTCATCCTGGCCCCAGCTGTGCGTAGGCCTTTGACTCCATCTGTCCTTCCGCTGGGGACGAGCTTCTAGCCAAATGGAGAACACAAGTTTGGCTCCCCAAAGTGATTACAACCCCCACCCTCTCCACTCAGCCAGAGCCAAGTATCAGGTCTGCTGGAGGAACCGTCTAGGGGGCAGACAGAGGAGGGAGGGTGAGGAGAGTCTGCTTTCCTCCCCTGTCCCCACCCATCGCCACTTTGCAAGCAAAGCCTGAGCAGAGGCCAGGGCTGCGCGTCCCCCGGTCCAAACCTCAGGGCCCTTTCTCTCTCGTCTTCTGGCTTCTCCGTCCCCCGCCTGACCGCGAACGCGCCTTGTTGCAGAGCCGCGACTCACAGGTTGGAGTTTGCCCTTGTGTGCGCCGCGTCACAAGGCGCGGAAGGGAGGTGGTAGGAGTGGGTGGGAAGCGAAGCCGCGCTGTGCTGGCGCCCGAGACGCCGCGGGGAGCTGCCGCCCCGGGAGCAGCCTATGCGGCCGCAGCCCGAGCCCTCCCTCCCTCTCTCCTCCCCTCGGGCCCTGCGCCCTCACACGCGGCCTCCCGGCCCTAACTCCACCTCCTTCTTCGGCCTGACCCCCCTCCTCGCCCTGGGTGTACGCGCTTTAAATAATTTCCGCCTTTTCGGCAAAAAAAAAAAAAAAGCACCTGACTTAACCAGGGGGAAACAACTAGCTGAGCAGAACAAAGAACAAATGTAAAAGGAATAAAAGGAGAGAGAAAAAGAGATGAGATTCGTTAAAAGATTTCCAGGGGCTGAAAAGGTGGCTGCAGCGGCACAGGCGGCTCCAGCTTCCCTACCTGCGTGAGCTGCAGGCGGAGGACGTTTTCAACAGTCGCAGATATAACCTCAGGAACTCCTGGGTCTGTCGGTTTCTTTGCCAAAGTCTTTTCTTCTTTGGCTCAGACACTTGAAGAGGCTTCTGGATTTTCCTGCCACCCCCGACACAAGCTGGCAGTTATCCGGTAGCTGGCGGAGAAGTGAGCCGGTCAGAGGATGAACGAAGGGCGTCAGCAGCGGGGGGGCTGCCTCCCGGAAGCGCCTCCTGCTCCTTGGGAGGAGAGGGTCACTCCGCAGGCTGCCGGGCGGCGGCGGCACCCGGGTGCCGCGCACCCGGCTCGGGTTCTTCTTGCACGCGTGGCTGTGGGCGGCCTCGGGCTCATCTGCCCAGGTGTTCAACCTCAGCCTTTCCATGGACGAGGGGCTTCCCCCAGACACGCTGGTTGGAGACATCCACGCCGGGCTGCCCATAGCGCAGCAGCAGGAGGCGGGTGGCTTTTTTCCGCCCGAGGACTCGGACGACTCCCCGCTGCTGGACGACTTCCACGTGCACCTGGACAGCGGCATCATCCGCACCGCGCGGTGCCTGGACCGTGAGCGGCTGGACCGCTACGGCTTCGTGGCCGCTACGCTGCTGGGCGCCGTGGTGCAGGTGGAGATCAGAGTCAACGACGTGAAAGATCACTCGCCGGTTTTTCCCCGTGACTCCCTGCAGCTCCACGTCTCCGAACTCAGCCCGCCAGGTACCGCCTTCCGCCTGCCAGGTGCCCACGACCCCGACGCCGGGCTGTTCAGCACCCAGGGCTACACCCTGGTGCAACTGTCCGACCTTACCGGGGACCCCGAAGGACCATTCTTCCAGTTGCGCTACGGAACCCTGGGGCCACCGTCGCCTCCCCTGCTGGCCTCCTCGTCGCCCCTGGGGCCCCTGGACCTGGTGCTGCTGCGGCGCTTGGACCGAGAGGCGGCTGCGGCGCACGAGCTGCAGATCGAGGCGTGGGACGGCGGCCACCCGCGGCGCACCGGTCGTCTGCGAGTTGAGCTCCGCGTGCTGGATGAGAACGACAACCCGCCAGTCTTTGAGCAAGCAGAGTACCGCGCGGCTCTGCGTGAGGACACCCCCCGGGCGCCGAGGTCTGTCACGTGCGCGCCACCGACTGCGATCTGGGGCCCAACGGTCACGTGCGCTACCGCCTCCTCGCCCGCCAAGCGCCCGGGGCGGGCGGCGAGCCTCTGGGCGACGCGGCCTACTTCGTGGAGGAACTGAGCGGCGTGGTGCGAGTGCAGAGACCGCGAGACCGCGAGGCGCAGGCCTGGCACCAGCTGCTGGTCGAGGCCTGGGACCGAGGCGCCGAGCCCGAGGTCGCCACCGTGAGCGTGTCCATCGCAGTACTGGAGGTGAATGACAACCAACCTGCCATTCACTTGCTCTTCCTCACCGAGGGCGGCGCCGCCCGCGTCTCTGAAGGCGCCCAGCCCGGCGACTATGTGGCTCTCATCTCGGCGTCCGACGCAGACGGCGACCTGGAGAAGGAAGAGGAGGCCGCTGGGGAGCTTAGTGTGGGCCTCGGAGGCGGAGGCATCTCACTGTCCTTGGAGGGTGGGGAGGGAGCCTTGGCGCTGAGACCCGGCGGCTCCTCCGGAGTATTTTTTCTTTGCGTCCAGGGGCCCCTGGACCGGGAGAACCGCGACGGGTAGCGAACGACGCAGGGATCCCGCCGCTGAGCCCCGAGGAGATGCTGCTGCTCCGTGTCGCTGACCTCAACGGCCAGCCGCCGCTGTTCAGCCAGGAGCACCACCGGGCCTCAGTTTCTGAGGCCTCAGCCCCAGGCACTGCAGTCGTGTTGATCAGCGCCTCGGATGCCAACGAACCTGGCACAGACCGCGCCCGGCTGCGTTACGCGTTGATCCAACCTCTGCCTCACTGCATTCCGGAGACTCTGTCGTCCACGGTGAGGTGCGGGCCATACTTCACCACTGATCCCGAAAGTGGTGTGATCAGCACCATGCGGACTTTAGACCCAGAGGTCCATGAGACGGTGGAGCTGAAAGTTGTGGCTCAGGACCTCGGAGAGCCGCTGCTTTCTGCCACCTGCCGGGTGAGCATCACCGTGGATGATGTGAATGACAACGAGCCCATCTTCCGGAGGCAGGTGTACAATGCTACCGTTGCGGAGCATAGCCCAGTCGGACACTGCTTTCTGCAGGTAAGCGCGTCAAGCTTGTGGATCAACTGAAACGCCGCGGGAAGGGTTGGAGAAGTTGTATGTCCGAGGAACGAGAACTGTGATGTCTCTGGTTTCTCCTCTAGAGTGAAATGAATATGTGCCCTTGATCATCTAATAGTTCTGTCAGGTGGTTGGACTGCAAGATCCTAATGTCATTTCTACTTTATATAAAGTAGAATTTGGATATTGCTCTTGCTTTTATGGAAACCTGGTTTCTGTTATGCTGCATCTGTGCGCCCAAATCAATTTGAGAAGAACTACCCATTCATGGCAATGTCATATTCTTAAGCATCGTTATGTGGCATCCTAGGGAAATAAGGTGGCCTTCATAAATGAGTTTTTCAAATGACCAAGTATATGCCTTTAAACACTGAAACTGTTTTGGGTAACCGTTAACAGAGACTCCTTAAGCCTTTTGGTGTCTTTTTTAGAAGCTTACAAAGTTTAGTTGAGGACATCAATTTATCATTATTAGCGCCAACTGTGGGCTGAGGTCCTGGCAGTGTGATGCCTTCAGGACTCTGAGGAACAGGGAGGCTGAATCGTTCCTTAAAAAATGGGGCACTCTGCTCTGCTTTCTTTGTGGGTATGTTGCCTTTTAGAGTTCTTCTGATATCTCCACTATCAGAATGTCATGTTTTGCTCTTCTCATGTGCTTCCTTCTAGCACCACTCCTTACTACTTCCAGTTTCCTCTTATCTGATGTGAGATAACAAACCAGATTTCCAAGTCTGTTAGGACTGGAGTAAATAGGTAAATAGAACCTGAGGGGTAACTGGTGAGTGAAGCTCAAGAGCATTTACTAAGCTGCAGACTGGGTTGTTTTAAAACTTCTATTGGTTACTTCCTGGTTCTCAGTTAGGGGGTTGAGGCTTTAGCCTTATTATAAGTTACATCTAAAAAAAAAATTAGATAAGGATTTATTTAGATAAGAAGTTCCATTGTGCTGTAAAAATGGGTTTCATGACTGCTGCTTTTCTTTTTTTTTAAACCTTTGGGTCTGTGGGTAATAATAATAATCTCCATGCCTTTCTCTAGTGTGATGGCAACTCTTTGATTTGCTAGGTTACTAAAAAGGAGGCTTGAAGATTAATTAATGCTAGCTGCTACAACAGACAAATCTGCAAATACCGGTGATTAACACAAGTGTGTTTATCTCTCCAGCAAAGTTCAGTGTGATGCAGAGGGGCTGGTCCTCGTACATGCAAGGTAGAGCCAGGCCTGGGAGTGACTTAAATCACTTCCACCAGCATCCCACTGGCCAAAGCTCAGCCATATGTTCTCAGATGTACTGCAAAGGAGGCTGGGAAATTCAGAGGAGCACATGGATGACCAGTGTACCTCAGTAGTTTCTGTTACGGATTTCTAAAAATGAAACTATTATAGATGAGAGGTTGGACTAGATGTTTTCCAAAATTTCTTCCATCTGGAAGACCCCAAGGATCTTGGTATGAAATAATGCAGCTTGGCTCTCTTCAAGGAAAATATGCAAAGTGGATTAATTCTGATATTTTTGATTAGAACCTGTCTTTAAAGCTATTTCTAAAATTGTGAGGTGATTCTTCCAGAAAGTGTGAATTTATCCCATTATTATGACTGAGTATGTGGTGGATACACTACAGTGAACTGAACTTGGCTCAAGTGTATGACTCAACCTCTGACAACCACAAAAAATCTTTCCAGGTTGGCAAAGTATTACTGCAGACAGTATTAAATCATGCTGATTAGAATTTCTGGAAATTCCTGTGATCTAGCCCCTCAAGATTGCAGGAACCCTCTTACTCCCTGAGCTTCTGGTGGCCTCTCTACAGCACCATGTGTTCTGTAAGCCCACTAGCTGATGCTCGTCCCCTAATTTCCAGGCAAGCTTCACAGGAGCATCTTTTGTCTCCTTCTTTCTATCCCTGTACTCCCAATCTTTCTTTATACCACTTTGCAAAAACTAACCCTTCCATCTAGACTTTGAATCTCATGGCCTCGCCATTCTTCTAGGGTTTGTGTAATTACATTTCATCAGTTCTTTATAATTTATACCTTCTTACCTTCTTTCTTTTGCTCTATACCAATTTTTCCTTTCTAGACTTCCTGTCTATGCAAATCTCCTTTGTGGAAAAAAAAAAAAAAGAGAAACAATAGGAAAAAATAAGTTTTTTCATATTCTCTGTAATGGAATACCATATCTAATAAAAACAAAACCTTGAACCTTCAAGGTGTCTTGGTGGAAGGAGACGGTAAGTTACTCCACATCACTAAACATCACTAGTCCTTGGAGCTGTTCTGTTATTGCTGCTCCTGCTGCCACCACACTACTGGCCACCCATTACTGCCATCCCCCCAGTGCTGGCTGACCCTTTATACTCCCCTGCCTAGACTGGAACTTTCCAAAGAGTTTAAGTGTGGCGCAGAACAAAGATATTTAGCATAGAGTGCAAGAACCATTAGCAGCCATTAAATGAATGAATCAATCAATGAATACACTACTGGTATTTGGGGGAATATTTGGGTATGAAGGCTGGAGTTATTTTAAGATCCGGTTATATGATAAAGTCTGCAAGTGATCACTCCTCATCCCCCCTGTAATTTAACTTCCTTCCACCGCTGTACTAGCAGCTGCAATTTTGTAGGCACTTGTCTGGATTTCTTAATTCCTTGCTCCTGCCTGCCCCATGTGGAGAGTGCCATCTTAACAACCCATCCCTCAGGAGCTCCTTTATCTCTGGACAATTTCATGCACAAGACAAAGATTTCCACTCTGCAGACACTCAAGGTTTCTTTCCCCAGGTCGTATCTGGGCTAAATGATTACCTTTACCCTCAGATCACTGTCAAAAATATTCACTTCAACATCTAGGCAAGACCTCCACCCTCCATCCCACACTATGTACGATAGTGTGAGCTGAACCTGCAGGCATTATCATATAACCAGATCTTAAAATAACTCCAACCTTCATACCCAAATATTTCCCCAAATACTATTAGTGTATTAATTGATCAATTTATTCATTTAATCAACAACATTTATTGAATAAAGAACATTCAGTGAACAAATACTTTTTGAGTGCCTATTACATGCCAAGGAGCCCTGGTAGCACAGTGGTTAAGAGCTTCACTGCTAACCAAAAGGTTGGCAGTTCAAATCCACTGGCTGCTCCTTGGAAACCCTATGGAGCAGTTCTACTTTGTCCTATAGGATTGCTGTGAGTTGGAATCGACTCAGTAGCAAAGGGTTTTTTTTTTTTTTTTTAAATTGCATGCCAGGAGCCGTTCAGCAGTGAGGAGACAGGCAAGGTCTCCATGCTAACAGCTTAGTCTGGTGTTTACTGTCTCTTTCCCTTACATTTCATAGTTCTTTATAGTTGTACCTTCTTTCTTTCTTTTGCTCTATACCAGTTTTGGTTAAACCTGTCTTTAGAGCTGTTTCTGAAATTGTGAGGTGATTCTGCCGTGTACAGTCAGCCCTTGTGAATGTCGTGCCCCTGCTTCTAATGATGACCACTCGTCATCCCCCCCGTAATTTGACTTCCTCCCACCACTGTGCTTAATTCTGTCTCTCAGAAGGTATCAGTGTCAAACCAAATTTATTGTCAAACCAAATGGGCTTTTCTTAGTCTTAACCTCCCTCATCTTCTCTGTAGCTTTTGTCCCTTGCCCACTTCCTCTCTCTTCAGCTTAGCGTCTTCATTGTCTTTTGGGTTACTTTATTCTTTTCCTGCTTCTCTGTTACTAATTCCTCCTTGCCTCTTGGGCCACCCCACTCAGTGTGGTAGAGGCATTTTCAAAGTATATATCTTCCTCTCACTTCTCTCCTTTCTGTACTTCTTACAGCTTAAGTTTTATTTTTTCACATCTTCAGGGTCAACCTCCCTTATAAGCTGCAGATTAACATTTTTTTCTACCTGATGTGTATTTCTACCTGGATGTATTTTTGGCACCTCAAGTCTGACATTTCCCAAACTGAACTCATTTCCCTTCTACTATTTTTTCTTTTTGCACCTTCATTAATCAGCTCCTTTTCATAACTTTCCTATTTTTGTTAATGTCTCCTTTCTATAAACGTGCTTGTGCATTTGGTGTATGTCTCTGTGTGGATGCAGGTTGAGAATTACTTGGGTAACAGGCAAGGTCATGTCCCATATCAATCAGCTGGATAAAAAGCAGGTCTTCAGATTCCAAATGGAGACTGTGTTGGAGAGCATTTGATTGTTTGTTTGTTTGCTCTCTTCATCTGAGCTCTGAGAAACTGTGTGACCTTGAGCACTGTGCCTCAGTTTCCACATCTGTGAAATATGGACACCATAGGGTCAACTCAATAGGGTTGCTGTGTGAATAATGAATTAATACATGTATACTTAGAACAATGCTTGATTCATAGTCAGTGCTTAATACATGTCACATATATCATTAAATGTTAATAAATAAGACTTCTGGAAATGATGAAGAAACTATTTAGTCTGATACAGAGAAGCTGAGGACTAATTAAAAATTACATTTCAAATAAAGAATTCTCCTGCATGGAAAGATGTTTAAACTGTGTGTGGGGTTTTAGTTAGATGCATATGTTTTTGACAATGAAATTGAAATGTGTTTTACATACTTTGGAAGCTTGCGACATCTTCTTTTATGAGTTTATAGAATCCCACCTGTCTTAAGGAAAGTTCAGACGACCTCCCAAAGTGATTCCTTGGGGAACAAATACTAGCATTGTGAAAGCCCTTAGAGGGACTGGGCAATGCGACATAAGTTGGGATGGAAGGCCTCAGCATGGCAGGTCCATGTGTCCTCAGGGGTCCACCTCGAGGACACTCACACCAGGCTTAAGATTCAGTGCCTGCCTCTGACCCCCTGTCAGTTATGCAGGGCATGATTCTCTTCTATAGTGTCTTTTTTTCTGTTTAGCAGTTGTTGCTGTTTGGAATCTTTTATTAAGGCAGTGTGGAATAAGGGAGCACTGTACTTAGAAAACATTGGTTCCAATTCTGA